GTGCGGCCCGCCCCGTGGACACTCGTGTGCTCTGAGAGGGGCAGCGGCAGACCGTCCTTCAGCCAGCTCACGTGGATGGGCCCCGAGCCGCGCGTGGGGCACGCCATGGTCACCGGCTCCCCGGCCCTGCTCAGCAGCGGCCCCGCATCCCCAGCTCCCTGCTCGATGGTGGGGGGAACTGAGGGGGACAGGGCAGAGGGGAGCTGAGGGGTCGGGGGAAGAAGGCTCCCCCTGGGGGGCTTCCAGGAGGCAGCACCCCGACCCAGACTTCTGCCAACAGCAGTGGTCGCGGTTAAAGAGTCTCATCTGCACGGGAGGGAACAGGGGCTACAGACGTACCCCCACACTCCCCTGCCTGGCCAGGGCCTCGTGTTCAATCCAGTGTTGGGCACTGGTAGATCATGCCAGTAATCCCAGCTTCTTAAGAGGCTGAAATCTAAGGATCACAGTTCAAAGCCAGCCCAGGCAGAAAAGTCCATCAGACTCTCTTATCTTCAATTAACCAGCAAAAGGCTGGAAGTGGAGGTGTGGCTCAGGTGGTAGAGCACCAGCCTTGAGCAAAGCTAAGAAACAGCATCCAAGCCTTGAGTTCAAATCCCAGTACAGGCACACACAAAAAAGTTTAAATCAAGGTGTGGAGGCCCAGGGCATTCACTGCAGGGGTTTGGCCAGGACTTGAACCCATGTCTCCTGTGTCCTGGCTACTCCTCACCCTGCAGGAGTCCCTGAAGAGGCCCTCCCCCTCCCCAGGGCTGCCCACCTCTCCTGGGCCTCTGTTCCTCACCTAGAACATTAACTGTGTGCAGCCTGGAGTCCTCTCCGGCTGCGTTGCGGGCCACGCAGGTGTAGGCGCCCGAGTCCGCCGCCCTCAGGCCCTTCAGCACCAGGGAACTGCCATCCAGGTAGAACCTGTGTGGGGAGTGGATGCTGAGGGCAGGCTCGTGGGGACGGGCAGCCTCGCTGTGCTGGGAGGCACAGCTGGGTCTTACCGGAGGTGAGGCCCGGTCCCCTGGCTCAGCGGGCCGCCATCCTTCAGCCAGGTCACGTGGGGCGGCGGCTGCCCATCGGCCTCACAGTCCAGCCGCACCTCCTGCTCTTCCAGCACCGTGCGTTCCCGTGCCGTGTCTGAGCTCCGGATCCGGGGGGCCACTGCGGCAGGGGTGACCATGAGCCACGGACCTGCCTCGGGTGGGCGTGGCCATGGCTCGGGGAGCAGGTGGACGTACCCAGCACGGCCACCACGAAGTCCTTGCGGGCCTCAGCCTGGGCGTTCTGGGCGACGCACGTGTAGGTGCCGGCCTGGGCTGGCCGCAGGCGGCTCAGCTGGAGGCGACCCGCCCTGGAGACCACACCATGCTCCACGCTGCTCTCTGTGGGGGAGGGGAAACTGAGGCCCAGAGGGGCAGGGGCTCCTTCTCACCAATCACTTCCGTCCTCAGTCCTAGTCTATGTGTGCACGTGCGCGTGTGTGCACATAGGTAAATACACGTGTGTGTAGTGTATGTATGCATGTACCAGGACTGGACTTGAACTCAGGGCCTGGGCGCTGTCCCTGAGCTCAAGGCTAGCACTCTACCATGTGAGCCACAGCGCCACTTCTGGCCTTTTCTGTGTATGTGGCACTGAGGCATCGAACCCTGGGCTTCACGCACGCTAGGCAAGCACTCTACCACGGAGCTACTGTTCCAACCCCTGGTCTTCACATTACTGATTAGCTCAAGGCTGGTGCTCTACCACATGATCCATGGCCCCACTTCTAGCATTTCGCTAGTTCACTGGAACTGAGAATCTCACAGACTTTCCCGCCCAGGCTGGCTTTGAACTTCAACCCTCAGGTCTCAGCCTGAGTAGCTGGGATGACAGGCGTGAGCACCGGCGCCCGGCAGTCCGGTCTCTGTTTCATTTCTGTGGGGCCGTCTTTTCCCCGGGGGACCCAGGCCCAGCCTGGTCCCAGCCCCCACCAGCTCCGCTCCACCTATCCTGGCAAGGCTTCCTGGCTCGCCCTTGGGGGGAGGGGAGGGGATGCTGCTCCCACGCCGCCCCCTCCATCCTCTGCCCTGTGTTCGAAGCCCAGTCCCTGTCCCCAGGAGATGGACACAGCACTAGACCGGGTTCCAAGGGCAGAGAGGGCACCAGAAGTTTCTCTGCACCAGGAGGAGGCTCTCCAGCCTCCTCCTTCTGTCCCCCCCCCCAATGCACAGTGGGGTGTAGCTGGAGGAGCCGGGGGTGAGGCCTGGGTGGGCCGGGCTGGGGACAGAGCCAGCCTGGGTGAACGCCAGGTCTCTCCGCGCCCAGGCCGAGTCCAGGTCTTCTCTCCTAGGTGAGCAAAGGGCACGGGAGCTGTTCCTGCTGTTTAGACGTCAAGGTTTAAAAAACCTCCATCAGAAGTCAGATAGCGCTGTTCTGGCAGGCTTTAGACTCTGCACATGTTTTGTGGTTGCTGTTGTGAGACAGGATGTGAATATATTTCCCAGGCTGGCCTTGAACTCACAATCCTTCGCCCAGTCTTCTGAATGCTGGACTTACAGGCAGGCACCACCATGCCCGGCCAACGTGTGATTTGGACGAGTAAAAATACAAAGAGCCATAACGTCCTCTGTGGCCAGCGACCCCAGGCTGAGCGCGATACTCACCCACCGGCGTTCGGTCCTTCAGCCAAGTGACCGCGGGCGGTGGGACCCCGGACACATCACAGGTCAGGACCAGGGGGTTCCCCGCCACCTGGCTCACCATCTCTGTCTTGGGGTTCTCAAACGTGGGGGGCACTGCAGGAAGGAAGTCAGATCCTCAGAATCCCCAGCCATTTCCCCGTTCCCTTCCTCTCAGGTGATGAGAGGACCGGGAAAGTCCTTCCCCATTATGAGTGGTTCCAGCTTTATGCTCCGCCATGCATGGAGGAAGAGGGGGTCCCTCTCTTCACAACAGGACTGGTGGCTGCAGCTGGTTATTTCTAAGGGTCCACAAAGCCTAGCTGGCTAGCAGCAGCAGGCCTTAGCCCATGCCAGGGCAGGCATCACCAATCAATCCCAGCACCCTGGAGCTCCTCCAGGATGAAGTTATACAGATATCACCAATCAACCCCTGCACCCTCGAGCTCCTCCGGGGTGGGGTCACACACTCCAGTGGGTCTTTGCCTTCCAGAGCCAGGTGTCCCCGGCTTCCTGCCCCTCACGGAAGGCCGCTGTCAGAAGGGACTGTGCGCTTGAAGGAACAGGTCTGACCTCAGCCATCATATCCAAATGCTCACCTTGAGGCCTCTGCGCTGCCCCCACCCCTGACCCTGCCACCACCGCCCATCCCCAGCAGTAGAGTTCTGAGCGAGTCCTCTGGTTCCCAGCCTCCCTGGCTGTGTGGCCAGCCAGGCCTAGGGATCACACCCCAACACCAAGAGTAACATGATGGGAGGAAGCCGGGTTCCTGATCTCCCTCCCGGAGCCCAGTGACCCCACCAGCCTAGATGCAGACCCCATAGCTCAAGAGAGGGAGATGGCTTTCTCATTCAGTTCACTGCAGCATGCTGTGTGAGTGAGTGTGTGTGTGTGTGTGTGTGCGCGTGCGCGTGCTCCCCCTTAGCTTTTTCACTCTAGGCTAGCACTCTTCTGCTTGAGTCACAACTCCACTTCTGGGTTTTTAAGAGTCCCATAGACTTTGAACTGAGATCCTCAGATCTCAGTCTCCTGAGTGGCTAGGATTATAGGTGTGAGCCACCACCAGCACCTGGCTAAAGCTGAATTTTGACATGCATTTATTTTATTTTTTGTCAGTTGTGGGACTTGAACTCTGGGCCTGGGCGCTGTCCCTCAGCTCCTCAGCTCAAGGTGAGTGCTCTACCATTTGAGCCACAGCGCCACTTCCAGTTTCCTGAGAAGTTTATTAGAGATAAGAGTCTTAGGAACTTTCCTGCCTGGGCTGGCTTTGAACTGTGATCCTCTGGTCTCAGCCCCCTGAGTAGCCAGGATGGCGGGTGTGAGCCACCGGCGCCCAGCTATTGCCACACTTTTATGAAGCTGTGGGAGTTTTGTGCAGACTGGGCAGGCTCTGCCCAGCCCTCCTGGGCCCTGTGCCCCTGCGGTGCCCTCTCTGCTCTACCCCTGGGTTGGCGGGACGGGTGGCTGCAGGGCTCAGGGCAGGATTGGATGGTGTCTTAGCGTTCCTTCCCCCGGTGCCGGGGCACCCGGCCCCGCGCTCAGCGGCTCACAGCACAGCAGCCCGGCCAGCTGGACTGGAGGCGGCAGCACCATCCGAGACCTTCCCTTCCTTCCAGCTTACCCTCCACGGTGAGGACGAAGGTCCGCGTGGCCTCCCCCGCGGCGTTGCTCACTTTACAACTGTACACGCCTTTATCCGATACCTGGACCACAAGAGGCCGTGCTGAGGGGTGGGGTGGGGTGGGGCGGGGCTGGTGGCATCTGGGAGTCCCCTAAAGACCCAGGCTCCAGAAGCCTCCAAGACAGGGGCTCCCCAAAGGCACAGGTCCTGTCTGAGCTGCTACAGGGAGAAGGCATCTTCCGGCCTTCCCGGGAGCCTTGGTTGACAGGAGGTCCTGGAAGGTTGTGTGGCCAGCCTCCCCCACACAGCCCTCCCCATCCCACAGCTGCCGCCCCCGCCCCCAGGCCCTCTGGGCTGGACGGAGCGGTCCCTCGGCCGCGCTGCCCCCCTCACCTGGGCCGCCAGGATCTGCAGCGTCTGCCCGCGCTGCACAGTCTGCAGCCGCGGCGTGGGGGCCAGGGGCCCCTGGGCCTTGTACCAGGTCACCGTGGGCTCCGGGTGGGCGTCAGTGGCACAGCTCAGGGTGGCCTCGTCCCCCGCCCGCACCAGCACAGCCGCGGGGGTGCTGCCGGGAGCCCGTGCGAAGCTGGGTGGCGCTGAGAACGGGCCGGGCCAGTGAGGCCTGCGGCCTTC